TAAAAAGGCTAAGTTTTGAAGAATTTTTTACTAGGTTTCTCAAAAATCAACTTCCAGCAACTTTCTTGGTGTGACCACAGCTGATTTTTATTTTCCAGTGCATGTCCTGCCTAACATGGACAGCGCTAAATTAAATACTGTTTGTTCTATATTATAAGGCCGCAGAAGAGGATGGTCTTACAAAATTTCAGTCAATTACATTTTATTTCTAGATTCCCCCAAAACAGGTGTGGTTTAAGTTTATTCTGTGTTGGCTGTTAATATGACCTCAAGTCTCTGCTCCACCTCTGATATTGGGAATACACACCGCAAGTCTCAAGTTTTACAGAAAGGGCAAAGCTCATCACTAACTTTCCCTGTGATGTCAACTTTTAGCTGTATTCGCTGCTCTCATTTGTAAGCCCTGGTGTTTTTTCTCTTGATGCTATTGATGAATTTGAGGAAAGGTTCACAGATGTTGATGATTCTACAGGTGAGAGATGAGAGTCTTATATTAGTTTTTCTGAAACCTGCATCCCTGCCGGAATTTTGGTGAATCCCACTTCCCAGGTAGCAATCAATTCCTGTATTCCATTAGTCTTTTCTGAATAATAATGGGGCTTGAAGGGTTCATCCCTTAAAGGTACAATGAACACCCCCTGTCATTTTCACAGGGAAGTACCCCTTCCCCCCAACCTCAAGGTGGAAACATATCCACATTCACTGGCAAACAAGTTTTGATATCAGGTATTTACTTTACAGTGACAGATCCAGGGGAGGCCCCCCCCTATTTTTAGACCAAATTGAGGCCTGAAGGGCGTAAAAAATTGTTTTTGAGACCCCGCCTATCTGAGGGTCTGGATGACCGCCCCCTTCCCTTATCTGAAGGTCTGGATCAACCACTGCTTTAAAGTTCTTCTAAAGAAAGTTATTAAGATTGCTAAATTTGAGTATGATGCAAGTAAAGTGTATTTCGAAGTTTTCTGTTTGATCATGGGATTATAACTGTATCACTACTGTTTGTTTCACTAATAGTTATTGTATCTTTTTTGGTTATTTGTTTCAGAAAAAAATGCGGAGTTGCAAAATCTTTTGTCACCATTTTTGTTAAGGCGTGTCAAGTCAGAGGTCAGATATCATTTCACAGTAATAAATAATATTAAATCCTTTTTGTTTATAAGTGACATGGGTACTTCTGTTTTAACATTATTTTGGCAACTACGAAATCTGTAAAAGATTTTTAGTTATGTCTTAACATTAATACTGACATAAGCACACTGTACATGTAAATTGGTGCGCGCAAAATTCTGGCATTGGCCAGGCCCCAATTGTGCTTTTAAAACCATAAATTATTACTGTTTTTATGGTTTCTGTTATTTTTCTATAATTTATTGCAGGTGATGGCACATTTACCAAAGAAGAGTGAGGTAATAGTGTTAATTAATAAACTTACGTTCACAATTCCCTTCATGTTTAATTAGTTTTACTCCTATTCTTGCTTGAAAGCACTACTTATGTAGATTCTGCGCACTGTTCAAAGTCATCTGAATGTACTTTATCATGCATGCATGTCATTAATCTCGTGAATACAACGATAAACGGAAAAACGTCTTCCAAGCCAATCTCTGATCTTTAAACTGTCCTTGCTCGAAAATGCCACCTTATTGGCAGTAGGAGTACAGGGTAAAAAATTGACATTCAAACTGCAAAGGACCACAGATGAATATGCTGCAAAATGTAGGATCTGTAAAAGACCTGCCCAGCAAAAAATGTACAGTGAGTAGACACACTGAATTCAATCCCGCTCTGTTTTTGGTTCTTTCGGTGTCGTGTTGATGTCTTGCAGAGTTAATTTCCACGTAGTACAATCAGTAAAGGGTAAAAGCTATTGTAGTCTGCCAAATTCATGGCCCTACCCCCCACCCCCCCTCCCCCCTCAGTGATCTGTGTTCGGTCTCCTTGAGACACTTCTTGTCGTTCCTTTTAAACGCTGGAGTGTCACTCTTCATATTTTAACAATTACTGCAGAAATAATGTAGAACCGTGCTTGCTGATGTGTAGTTTCCCTGACCTAATTTCTTTCAATTATTTGTGTGCTTTTTTTTAAAAAAAAAGGTTCTCCTATACACTGGCATGTCAGAATTACAGAAAAAATATTACAAGGCCATCTTGATGAAAGATTTAGGTAGGGTTGACCTCACTTAAAATTCTTAAACTGAAAAGTTGTGACACTCTAAATGACTTGTAATGATTGTCAATAATATGGTGTTCTTAATCTCGGTTCTCCGTTTCTAATTTAAGTGTTTTTCGTACATTTTGTTTGGAAATTTTTATTCGTATCTTTCTATTTAGTCACAGTGACCGTTAATTATTGTAGAATGTTTATCAACGTTTGAATAACTTCTTATTGAAATCAGATTTTGCATATTATTATATGGAGGAGAGTGTTTTACTGGGAACTAAACCACTCGTAGATTCCATACGCCACTTCATCCGGGACCCGAGTGGCATATTTTCCGTATGTCACCTTTGTGAGTGTCGTATCGTTCAATGACGTCACGATTCCCGCTTTTTGCTTTTGTTAAATTGGTTTCTCCATATAATAAAAAGAACATTACACGTTGGCGAGAAGATATGAATTTTGTGTTCTCGTGGCAAGAACAATATCTCACTCGTTCGCTTCGCTCACTCGTGAGATATTGTTCTTGCCACTCGAACATAAAATTCATATCTTCTCGCCACCGTGTAATATCCTCTATGTGCAATCTCTTTTTCTTCCATAAGTAGTTTAGTTCACTTCCAGTGAGTTTAGTGACTCTTTCAAAGGCTGTGTAGTTTAAGTTTTAAAGCAGGAGAGATACAGTCTGTTTGGAGTTTATAAGGTGATTGTTTTCTAATGTCTGTTTTAACCTTTTTTTAGACGCGTTTAATTCTCCTGGAGGAACCAGTAAGACCAGACTGATGAATATTTTGACCCAATTAAGAAAATGTGTCAACCATCCATATCTGTTTGACGGTAAATTTGTTGTTGGTCTGTATTCCAGAATACAGTAATCAAGTCTTCTAACTTTGCCTTGATTTTGCTGTTTCAGGAGTGGAACCTGAGCCGTTTCAACTTGGTGAACATCTTGTTGATGCTAGTGGTAATCAATATTGTGAACTTACATAATTTATTTACTTTCTCTGACTGCTCTATCTCAGTTTTCTCTTGTATTATACTGAATCAAAATTAAGCTAACCGCTTCATTCTTAAGTCCTCTCTTTTCTGCAAAACATTTATGTACTTCTCACATTAAAGCGACTGAAATGAAAAAGCTCTTTGTTTATCCGCCATTAACATAGAATTCAGTTTTAATTCCAGTTAATGTTTGTCCAGCCGTACACGGGTATGTGAAAGGAGGACAATAAAATTAGTGGTTTTAAAGACTGAGTTGTGACACTACTGAAAAGTGAAAACTGGAATAGGTGTAAAATGTGACAGTGAAAAATGTAAAAATGCTTGTGGAAAGTCGCCTGTTCACAAGCCTATTGATATTTTTTCTTCAGGAAAGCTCCAAGTTATTGACCAACTATTGATTTTCCTCAAGACAAGGTAAGTAACAAATCCAGGAAAATGAATTGTTTTACTGTGCTTCTTGGAATTCGTCACAAGAAGGAAATTGAAGGAAACTATGCATTCCTTTTTTTTACATCTTCAGGGGACACAAAGTTTTGATGTTCTCTCAAATGACAAGAATGTTAGATATCATTCAGGATTATCTTGGCTACAGAGGTAATTAAAGGGCGTATTTCCAACAATAATAACCTGTTTATGCGTGTAGTATCATAGTGAACGACCTTCTAAGTATGCTAAACAGGACGCTACGCGGCGCGCTCGCCATACTATCTTCCAAGGCTCTGTGATAGTACTACAGTACGATTCGATTTTACCCCATACAAACACTATAATTTTACAAGTATCGTACTGTGGTACTATCACAGAGCCTGGGTTACCTGTTCTATCTTCGAGAACCGATGCGAGACTACGCGTAGTCTACTAGTTTTCTATAGCAGGCTTTGACCTTTTTCCCCTTTATAAGGCTTTGCTTGAAAAGAGCTACACACATGGAGTGTAGGACTTCATTTTGGCCCGTTATGTTTGTTCCTGTTACAGGATATTCTTATGAGCGATTAGATGGCTCAGTCAGAGGAGAGGAGCGATTTCTAGCTATTCAGAACTTCAACGAAACAGAAGATACCTTTATATTTCTCTTGAGTACGCGTGCAGGTACGTTCTTGAGCATAAAGTGCGCGCTCATGGCTATCATATATCAACGGAACCTCGCGAATCATACAGTTAATTTCCCCTAAAACTGGTGATTGGCATATTCGCATTCTAGACTGCAAATCGCTGTAGTCTAGACCACGGAGGCGTGATTGCGAAATGGTTGAGACACCGTCACTAGGTCACGTAGACCGAATCTTGATCTTGCACTGAATCGTGTGATTTCCTGCGACAAGAAATTATGCTTCCCCTTATCCCTCAAACAACGTGTATAAATAGTTCCTGCGACATACTGTTTTGGTAACCCTGAGACAGACAAACATGGTAGTGGAGTTGTGTTAAGGCACCATTGCTTTCAGACAGTCTATTGAATAAAGGAGACTGGTACATGTACTTACAGTCCCTTAGATTTATTTGACTGCGAACGAAGTCCTGAGCGCAGCTTTTCCTTTTTTCTTTCTGTAGGTGGTCAGGGTTTAAACTTGATGTCTGCAGACACCGTCATCTTTGTAGATAGCGACTTCAACCCGCAGAATGACCTGCAGGCGGCAGCTCGGGCTCATCGTATTGGTCAAACAAGGTAGTGAAAGCAGCCTCACTCCCATGACGGTGTCTGTTTGTCGCGCTTTCTCAATTCCGCGGGCCCGACTATCTCGGAGCCTGGAACAGGCTAGTTTGTTTCGCACCCCTGAGATGGCACTCAGGGGATATAAAAAAACGGATCATTACATGTTTCTGGGAAACTGCCCACCTACCCCTCCCCTAAGCCAACATTTTGCCCTAAGTGTGGAGTAAGTGTTAATGTTGGCTTAGGGAAGGGGTAGGTTGACAGTTTCCCAGAAATGATAATGATCCAAAAAAACCTGGCGAAACAAGCTACATTTGAAGCTCTTGTGAGCTTCGGTGAAGCGGTCGTAGCCACAGGCTTACCGGCAATTTCTGTGTGGCAGACTGTGCTCTAAAATGGCCGATACATTTAGCTAGTAAAAACGCTGAAATAAATACAATTTTAATTTTTTTTCTTATGAGATGGTTGATATGAAGCTTTGAAATTACGGGCCAGTTTAATGTTCTATTTATCTTGTTTATCAGACCAGTGAAAATCATTCGCCTCGTTGGTAGAAGTACAGTGGAGGAAATTGTGCTGAAGAGAGCAGATGCAAAGTTAAAACTGACAAATACAGTGATAGAAGGTGGAAAGGTTAGGATACTACGGGATTAACTATTTTAATTCATAACCGCACAGAAAAAAATAATNTCCGCGGGCCCGACTATCTCGGAGCCTGGAACAGGCTAGTTTGTTTCGCACCCCTGAGATGGCACTCAGGGGATATAAAAAAACGGATCATTACATGTTTCTGGGAAACTGCCCACCTACCCCTCCCCTAAGCCAACATTTTGCCCTAAGTGTGGAGTAAGTGTTAATGTTGGCTTAGGGAAGGGGTAGGTTGACAGTTTCCCAGAAATGATAATGATCCAAAAAAACCTGGCGAAACAAGCTACATTTGAAGCTCTTGTGAGCTTCGGTGAAGCGGTCGTAGCCACAGGCTTACCGGCAATTTCTGTGTGGCAGACTGTGCTCTAAAATGGCCGATACATTTAGCTAGTAAAAACGCTGAAATAAATACAATTTTAATTTTTTTTCTTATGAGATGGTTGATATGAAGCTTTGAAATTACGGGCCAGTTTAATGTTCTATTTATCTTGTTTATCAGACCAGTGAAAATCATTCGCCTCGTTGGTAGAAGTACAGTGGAGGAAATTGTGCTGAAGAGAGCAGATGCAAAGTTAAAACTGACAAATACAGTGATAGAAGGTGGAAAGGTTAGGATACTACGGGATTAACTATTTTAATTCATAACCGCACAGAAAAAAATAATAGAATAGAAGAGAAGCGGTTCGTTGGCGTTTTCCCTTAACAGTAAGATTATCCTTACATGGATGTTTTTTGTTTGTTTTCGTTTTTAATTGGCTGGTTTGGAAACAAATGCGTAGTCTTGTTTAGTGACTTCTTCAGTTACAATAAAATTGAAAACACTATTTGAATAATATTAGCCTAGAGTAATAGAATAAACTAAGCTTACATACAATAATTAAAGCAGCAACATCAAGGTACTTTTACAAACTAAAATTCGTTGTACCCATCCGTCAAAGTTATTCCTACCATCTGATAAAGCAATTCAAGTATGGTTTAAGTATAAAGCTTGATAGTTATCTTGTGAACAGGAACTCAATAAGGCGTCTCTAGAATGATGTATTGTATTGCCGGATTCCGAGTATTTTATCGCAAAGGTTTTCTCAGCCCCAGTAACTGTTCCATTGGCGAACCCAATCGAGCCGGTGTGACGTTTTACTTTAATGAAGTGCTCCTAAAACCTTACTTATAAACAGGGTACCACATACTCATAGTTTCTTTCGGCTCTTCAAGCAAACTTGTATTTTATAACCAACTCGAAGAATTAATAGTGTTAGTCTGTTTTCCCTTGAAATATTACAACAATATGCCACCGTCATGAATCTGCCCACCGATATACAGGTCTAGCACCTATGGCGTTAGGAGTTCTTGCTAGCTAATACTTTGTTTGACGATTCTTTGCAGTTTTCAGGAAATGTATCAGCTGTCAATCAAATTGCTGAGACTCCCATGCAGGTAAAGAGCACGTGGATGTGTAAGCCACTTTAATTCCCTTCAGTTCCGTTTTATTGGCCTGTTAACTTCTTTCTTGTTTTCCTGTTTTAAGTTCTTTCCTTTCCTGTTTTTTTTTTTGGCAATTCGTTTTGATGGGAACCAAGGTTCTCCTACGGCGAACCTTGAATTAACGCCCTTCGTTTCAAATGAACTTGGTTTATTTTTTCATGTATTTCTATCTGTGGCCTTTTTCACGAAATTATCCTTATCTTGGCAAAAGAAAGGAAGTTCGCCTTTGCTCGTTATTTATCAACTAAAGTGATCTATTTAACAATTATTCCTCGAGCCCGAATGGGCTTTTGACTCAGAAGCCATGAGGGCGAGAGGAATAATTGTTTTAGTAAAATCCAACTAGTTGGTCAAAAATATCGAGAATAAAAAACTTTTAGCTAGTTAACGCTAGACTTTAATCCTTTTTTACCGCCAAAAAGCCCGCGCTTTTCGCTACTAGTGGGCTATAACATATAGCCTAGTAGTAGCTCAACCAATCAGAACGCAGCATTGATAATAGACCACTAGTTGGATTTTACTAATAACATATAGCCTAGTAGTAGCTCAACCAATCAGAACGCAGCATTGATAATAGACCACTAGCTGGATATAACTAAAACGTAATAGTCATGAGGTCTGAAGTGATTCAAGGATCACGACACAAATGAAGGATCAAATGCTGATTTTCTTTTGTATATGAAATCGCTAGCTAGCAGACTTGCTTAAATTTGGCTTGGACAAGTTATTTGAGTCAGAGAACAGGTGAGCAAACATAAGAATTGTTTTGCCATTGTATTTCATTCATACACTAAATAAAAATCATCACAATTTAGAAATCCCTAATGTAAGTTATATTTTTCAATGCACTAATATTGAATCATCTTTCTTTTATTAACAGCACTGTTACAGAGAAAGACTTAGAAAAGTAAGTTTCCATTTCGTTGTATAATTGGTGTAGTGGTTGTTTCGTTTTATCTTTTATAGGGGGGAGGGGGATTGTTTGTCTGCGTAAATACTGAAGCGTGTAAGGGCTCCATGCTGATTTCTGTCGACTCAAAATTAATACTTAAAGCCCACCTGAATCTTACATAAAAGTCAGTTCTTCAATTCTCTGCATTTTCCTGAATTTATATTCAGTTTTAATACCGTAAAATTAGCCCAATCGATTTTGAAACGCAAATTTCCCTCCGTAGATAAGCCCCTCCGAATATAAGCCCCTCCAAAA